AGCTGACATCGCATTTGTCTCTCGTGTTTTCACGGCGTGATGTGTGCAGTTATAGGCATAGACATGTATTTATTATGGTTATAGGTATGTCCCCAAATTGTTGCCTTATATTTATATCATGTTGTTATATTAGAATATCACATCAGTAAGAGTGCCGTTTTCCCGTGCACAAGTGTGATATTTATGTTATACAATAGTTAAATTAAAAATAAAGTGACATTTTGAGTTAGTTTTTAGCCATAACATTATTGATATTGTTTGTTTTCCCTTTATTTCGCCGACTAGAATTTCAAAATGAAACCATAGCAGAGTCTCAATGCAACAGACAGCGATGATCTCTTGAAGGAAATCCGCGTCTTGAACGAGTCATTTTAACGATTCAATCACTTGCTTCTTTCCCGTTTGAACAAATCGGTTGAATGAATGACTCCCTCAACTCGCTTATTAAGACAGCGATTTGCCGCCGCCTACTGGCGGTTTTAGTTTCATATTAAAAGTAAAAAATAAGAAATCATTTCACATTTAAATATTGAATATTGATTTTTTTTTTAAAAAAAAAACCTTATAGCTTGATTTATGCAATTGTAAATGGAGTCTATATATTAATGCCACTTCTAAGGCTGCTTCTGCGTCTACTCTGCACTGCAAAGATGGATTTTTGATTGAATGATTTAATTTGACTGCTAACAGTGGTACTGTATAATTATTGTGTAATGAAATATTATTGTATAAATAAGTATAATTACTGTATATATGTGATGCACGTGATGCATAACTCTAAATAAGTTTAGAAAAAAAAAATCTCCATAAATAGGTGAAAATGCCTTGGAAATCAATTTAAGGTGGCAAATATTGCACATTAATTAATAATTTCTGTCACTGCTGTGAACTGACCACTGCATAGAATATGAAAAATATAAATATCTCCGCGAGTCTGCTGTCAACAACAGGCCTAAACCAGCCATGGCACCAGCACAATAACACAATCAGTAAAATATCAACTAATTATTGTTGATAATAATTAGTTGATATTTTACTGATTTTGTTTTTGTTTTGGGTTTATCAACAAAACGTGAAAATATCGAGATATATTTTTGTCAATATCGCACACCCCTAATGTATGGTATTAATTTTGATTTCTTCAGGTCTTAAAAAGGTCTTAAAAAGCCTTAAATTTTACTTTAAAAAGTGTGCAAGAACCCTGGTAATCTGCAGCATCCTACACAACCTAACACACAGACACCACTTGGAAGATGCATGGCAAGAAAATATTTTTAGCACAGATGTTACCCGATTTGCTTAAATCATTTAGAGAATTTTATGTTAAAACAACACGAAATTATATGGGTAAATAAACAGCACGATTTTTCAATCTTAGAAAATCTCCTCTCTCTTACTTTCTGTCCTTCCTTTGTTTCTTTACCACTTCTCCATCTTCAGCTCCCTTCTTCCTACTGTTTTACATTAAATAATAATGTGTGTGTGAGGGAGAAGCAGCAGCAGGCAAACGCAATAAAACACATAGCTGACAAGATCTTAATTGAGCTTCTGGATTCAGCTCAAGAACACACAAAAAAAAATCTAATAAGAGCCTAGCGAAGTGAGGGAAGGAGGAGGGAACGGGTGGAGGGCATGGGGAAATGTATTAGTGGGAGATGGTGAAGGAGAGATGGTGAGCGGGAAGGTAAGAGTCTGTTGGTACAAGAGTTAACAGGAGAGCAGGAGGCCAAGGAAAGGTGAAGAGCTAAAATGAATCAACAATACAAGCTAAAGGTTGATCAGTCAAGCTGACACTGAATTAATGGTTTGAGAGAAACACAAGGAGTGGAAATGTGTTGAAATGTCTGCGCTGGGAAGGAAGATTAAATAGAAGAGGCACTTATAATCTGTAATACTTTCGGATTCAGAACACTTTCTTCTGTGTGTGTGTGTGCAGTGTGCTTATATACTTAAGGAATGCACATCTCTTTGTAGAACAGAAAATCCCAACGTCAACGGAATAATTTTTATCCTCTTAAAAAATGTATTCGCCCTCTATGTCTCTCTCTTGCTCTCTCTGTTCCTCACACAGAAGAAGATGAGGGCTATTGATTAAGCCTGCTTTAATTTAATGTATCTGTCAGTTTTAATTGAACAAAGATGAATGGATGTATAATGTCAGTGGTGAAAGTGGGGAAGCTGTGGTATTCAAGCCACAATAATAGTCTGTTCTTTTTGAGGTTGACACAGGGGCTTGTGTACCCTAGCTTTTCTATATAGAAACACAAATAAACAGTTTGTGTGTGTATAGTGTTGAGACTCTAAAACAAATACAGTATAATATCTAAATAAATAATAAATCACTCTCCTTGCTTTTCAGTCTTTCTCAGATTTGATATCCCTTACCAAAATCATACATGGTACTATAATGAGTAGACTTGAGTACACTGTAAAAAAATATTGTTGGTTTAACTTAAAAAAGTAATAACCTGGTTGCCTTAAAATTTTAAGTTGATTGAACTGGAAAAAGTGAGTTAATACAATGAAGGAGAATGATTTAATCATCAAAAATTCAAAATAATAAGTTATCTGAACTAAATAAATTATTTAAGTTGATTTGACATAAGAAAAAAAATTGTTGTGATAACAAATTTTGAAAACATTTTTTACAGTGACATTTTTTCTTTTGTCAAATCAACTTAAATAATTTATTTAGTTCAGATTAGTGTTGTCAAAAAACTCGGTACTTCGGTACCAAGTCGGTACTAAAAAAAAAAAAATGTTACGGTACCAGCTTTTCTAGGTAGCACCGAGTACCAGGTTAATCCAGTTCTGTTCTAGACGCGATGTCTGAAACGTGCACAGTTGCGTCCTCTTCATAACGCTGATATGGCTCTCTCTCTCTGAATCCACTTGTTGAAACGAAAGGAGGAAAGAGCCACATACGGAAATATTTTGGATTAGGCTAATGTCACGTTGCCATAAGAGGCCGATTACATGCAAATTCGCAATTTCAAATATAGGCGTGATTCAAGCGCGCTCCTAATAAAAACTCGTTGGCGTTGCATAGCAACGACAGACGCCGCGTGAGAGCAAGCGCTTTGGAAAGAATAAGCACGCGCAAAAATATAATTAAAAAACACGCGCGACATGTGAACGGCCTCTAAAGTGCTTTCGGGGTAGTTTTACGAGTACATGAGCACAGTAGTATCTACCCGACACCAGAGTACTATGGTATTAGTATTATCATTTAATGTCAATGCCAGTTCTAGGCGTATTCTTGCCTTTATAACTCAGCAGGTTTAAAAAGCCTTTTTAAAATTAAATATGAATGCAGTTTTAGATTAATAAAAGGACAGTCAAGTCAAATAAAACATGTTTTATGGTAATGCTACAAAGATACCATTCATAAACATTACTTAGTTATCAACACATTGAGTGAACAATATATTTTTACAACATTAATTAATGTTTGAAAATGTTATTTATTACAAACACCTGATTGTTCATGTTTGTTCACTTAATTCATTGTGCATTAAATAAATAATGGATTAAAACTTTACAAACAACTTTAAAAATGTGTTAGTGTATACTATTGTTTATTTTAGGTCATTTTATCTAATCTTTTTCTAAAGTGTTTATAATACGAATGTACAGTTTCCATACTTGTAACCGTGATAAACACTTAAATATATGTAAATTTAAACTAAGCTTTGGTACCGAAATTGGTACCGAGAACCGTGAATTTTAACTGGTATCGGTACCGAATACTGAAATTTTGGTACCGTGACAACACTAGTTCAGATAGCAAATAATCTTGAGTTTTTTGTGATTAAATCATTCTCCTTCATTGTATTAACTCACTTTTTCCAGTTCAATGAACTTAAAATTTTCAGGCAACCAGGTTACTTAATTTTTTTAAGTTAAACCAACAATATTTTTTTTTTACAGTGTAGACCTCTGCATATTCTTTAATTTTATTTAGAATATTGTAATTTAGTATTTTCCTTAGCTTTTTCAGGACTTTTTTTGTTTTAATTTTACAAAACCTTACATTTACAGCTCAAAAGTCAGGTTGCAAATGCACCCGGTAAATGGTTCACAGAAAGATAAATAAATGAATTTAAATGAATTAACTCCACAGTTTATCATATTATTATTATTTCCAGAAATTATGCATAAATTCAAAAGTGGTGGTAAAGACATTTATAAAGTTACAAAAGATTTTAACTTTCTATTCATCAAAGAATCCTGAAAAAAAAGTGGTTTCTACAAAAAAAAAAATATTAGGCAGCACAACAATAATAAGAAGAAATGCTACTTGAGAACCAAATCAGCATATTTGAATGATTTCTGAAGGATGATGTGACACTGAAGACTGGAGAAATGGCTGCTAAATTCAGCTTTGTCATCACAGGAATCAATAATACTATAAAAAAGAAAAGTTATTTAAAATATTTCACACAAAAAAAATATTTCTTTTATAATCTTACCGACCCCCAACTTTTGAACGTGTTGTGTATTGTGCTACTTCACATAATACCACGACACGCAAGTATGAATATCATAGGTTTCTATGGTGAATAGTGGCGACCAGTTTCAGTGTAGTTGTGTCGTTCTTATTATAGCTCAGGGTTGTTGTTACTGCTGTATCTCTATGTGAGTATGATGTTCTCAATTTGTTTATTAATTATGAAGCAATTATTATCAATCCTGTACTTAAAGTTTCCACCCCATTGGCATTTACATTGACACAAAACGTCATCATTACTGCATGAAATGATGTATTTTGGGTGTGTGCTTGTTTACTATATGTCAGTGTTATGCAAATCCTAGCATTAATAACAGATGAATCCAAATGAGTTCATTAAACTGATATTATTGTTGTTTGGAGTCATAGTTTCACAGCATGTGTATGGCATTCACAGTAATTAAAGTCGAAATTATGTAAGTGTGTTTAAAGCGATGACAGTGTTTTTGAGCTTAGTTTTTTGACTGTGTCTATTTTTCTCTCTCTACAGGAAAATAATTGAGGTGAAGATTATAGATGATGAAGAGTATGAAAAGAACAAAGCCTTCAGCATTGAGTTAGGAGAGCCTGTTCTGCTTGAGATTGGACAAAAACATGGTAAATTGTGTAAATATGTGTGTGTATTTTTACTTGTCTTAAAGGGATACTCCACTTTTTTACCGTTTTTGAATGTATTCAGCCGATTTTTTTGATATTTAGAAGAATATCAGTAACCAGACAGTTTCTGGTCTCATTGACTGAAGTAAAACTATTTCCAAAAAAGTGGAGTATCCCTTTAATGTTAATTATGCAATATTTAGAACTGAATTGAAAGGCCTTTCAAATTTCTGCACTTGAATTAAATTTAAATGGTGCTTTAGGCGATTTCTGAGAAACGCTGTTGATATTTGAAATCACTGAAACAAACACGCCATTACCCAAAAGCATCACACCCCTATATTGATAGCTCCACCCCCAAATTCACAAACATACCATACAAACACAGGCACCTCCCCCCTTATGTCTGTATATGCCCCTCACTTCTGATTGGCTACAAGTGTGTTTTGGTTCTCGGTCTGATTCACTTTCAACAGCATTTCCCAGGATTTGCTTACTGAACCTTTAAGTGACACACCAAACCTGACACAGAATTGCAATCCGCATTTGAATTTTAAAGGATTAAAGTGGAATAAAATTCAAAGAAATTCATGTGTATATTTTAACAAGAAAACATAAGTTCGAGTGTTGGCTTGCAATAATAATAATAATAATAATAATTCTCTGAAAGTTATTCAAATCAATATAGAAGTAGCCTACTAAAATCTCTTATGCTTGCCCCTTTGCAAAATAAGCAAATGTTTATATCTCGCAATTCTGACTTTATTTCTTATTTTTAAAACTGTAAACTCACAATTGTAAGATACAAAGCCGCAATTATCTTTTAAAATGTTTTATTCTGTTGTGGAAGCAAGCTTCCATTCAAAATTGGTCAAATTAGTCATTAGCAAAGGTTATGTTTTTTGTGTGTGGACAACATTTGTGTGTGTGGATCTTCAATTTACCATCCATTATTTCACAGTTCTGCTAATCGGATTGATAATAATAAGAGACTGCTTGCTAATTAGCCATTGGTTCACAGTAGACGGGAAAAGCCGAATGTCTCTTGGTTTCACAAGCAGTTGCTTTTGTATCACTTTCTGCTGCATGTTCTCAGACAAAAAATAACTAAAGCGTGCAAATGAGCAGTGCTGTCTAAGCTGCAAATAAAATGATTGTGGGGGTCATTTAATGAGGAGAACATGAACAAAGTAATGAAAGATGAAAGGTTGCAGATAAAAGAAAGAAAAGGGGCTAAATTAAAGAACAGACGTGGACGAATCGAGCGTTCAGGATGAGGAGTGATTACATGATGCTCTTTTAAGCTCGAATTTTAATGGAATGAAAATGAACTATTTCACTTTTTCTCTTTGCATGTATCATTTGATATCCTTTGGCTTAGTAAATAATGTGTACTGTAGGAAATGTGTTTACAGTGAAGTATTAGACACTACCTGCTGGCTGTGAAGTGTTTTACCTCAGGAAAAAGTGGGCATCACCTCTTGTGAGCAGTGTGGCTGGAGGCTATCACTATTCTCTACATTATTTATACAGCCTTCTCCGCCAATGACCCTTCAATCATAAACGCCTTATTTTGCAATTCAATTAGCATAGTGTCACTCATAAAAGATTTATGAAATTTCCTGCTTGTCAGTTTTAGAAATTGAGATGTGTATCTTTCCATCCAGCCATCAGTCACAGTTATACAACTGTATACCTGGTTATTTTCTCTGATTATCTTCATGAGATTTAATATCTACATTCTATAGCTGGAGAAATATAGAGAATATGTTTATGTCTAATATACTGTTATTCTTTGTCTACTTTGTCATGTTTGTGTGTACTGTAGGGGACTCTAATGAAAATAAGCCGGAAATTGGGGCAGATGAAGAGGAAGTAGCTAAAATGGGATGTCCTAGTCTGGGAGAACATAACAGATTGGAAGTGGTGATTGAAGAGTCATATGAGTTTAAGGTAGAATTCCTTAATCTCCCTTAAGTTGAGCAACAATGCAAAATGAGTTAGGGAATATTGTTATTTAGCAATGCACGGTGATTAATGTGAAATATTTAAGCAGTACCACCACAGCCATGCTACTATTCAGTATTACTGTGAGTGTGAACATATATATATAAATTCTCCATCAACAAAGCTAAAACATTGAACTGTGCAAAACACAGACTGCAGGTCTGGAAAAAGTTTTTAAAGTGTGGGTGTGTGTGTGTGTGTGTGTGTAGAATACAGTGGATAAGCTCATTAAGAAGACTAACCTGGCTCTGGTAGTCGGCAGCAGTAGCTGGAGAGAGCAGTTTGTTAGTGCTGTTACTGTGAGCGCAGGTAAGCTACTTCCTGTTTATTCATCCTTTATATTTTTGTCACATTTGAGGCATGTGTACAATTATGAATATGCATTAATGTGCAAATAAATGCTGTTCTTTTGAACTTTCTATTCATCAAATATTAAGCAGCAAAATAAGAAATTATAAGAAATGTTTCTTTAGCACCAAATCATATTATTTGAGAGATCTTGTGACTGAAGACTGCAGTAAAAATACTGAAAATTCAGCTTTGCCCTCACAAGAATATATTATAAAACATTTTGATATATATATATATATATATATATATATATTAGGGCTGTGCAAAAATTAATTACGATTAATCGCATCCAAAATAAAAGTCTGTGTTTACATAATATATTTGTGTGTGCTGTATGTAATTATTTTGTATATATAAATACCTGTGCATGCATGTATATATTTAAGAATTATTTGCGCTTAAATTTTGTATATATATATATATAAATACATAATCTATATTATATAAATATAAATATTTTATATATGAATAACACATTTTCTTAAATATATACATGCATGTGTGTGTATTTATATATACAAAATTATTATATACAGCACACACAAATATATTATGTAAACACAGACTTTTATTTTGGATGCGATTAATCGCAATTAATTTTTGCACAGCCCTAATATATATATATATATATATATATATGTTCCTTGAGGTTTGATAGTATTAATGTTAATTAAGAGTATTTTGCACAAATATGAAACAGTCATATATTCATAAAACATGATTATTTATAAAAGTCCAGGGGAACACAGGCTGGGATCATGACATATTGCATAATAATCAGTATCAACGCCCACTCTCTATGTGTTTTGAACACATTATCCAGATAAAAGCATAATTTACATATAAAGCATTATAGAATATTTTACTTATGATTTACAATGTAATGGCTGTCAAATCCAATACTGCTACAATTTGGCTGCTACAAATTTTCAACAAAAAGTGACAAAAAGAGTGATAGTCACATTTTCATACAGCTTTAACTCTCTAATGCCCACTAACACAATCTACTCGTCTCTTTTTGAACTCTCAGGTGATGACAATGAGGAAGAGAGTGGTGAAGAGCGTCTTCCGTCCTGCTTTGATTATATCATGCACTTCCTCACAGTCTTCTGGAAGGTTCTGTTTGCCTTCGTCCCGCCAACAGAGTACTGGAACGGATGGGCATGCTTCATTGTGTCCATCTGTCTGATTGGTGCATTGACGGCGATCACAGGAGATCTCGCTTCTCACTTCGGGTGCACTATTGGTCTGAAAGATTCAGTCACTGCTGTGGTCTTTGTTGCCTTGGGGACATCTGTCCCAGGTAAGTGTCCAAGTTACCACATAATACAGAAAAATAGTTTCCCCTCTCTCTTTACATGTAAGCAAGAATTCATTTATTTAGGGATTAAATTAATGTATGAAATTATAAATGAAATTAGAATCAAAGAAAAATCTATATTTTTACATTTACCGAAGAACACATGAATTGTAGTTAGTTCGCTCACGAGCTTCACCAGCTTCACTCGAGTCGCTCGCCGACGGACAACGGCCGCCGTCTGCCGCGGCTTCCGCCATTAATGATGACGAGATAGCTGCATCTTTATAGGAGGCCAGCTGCTTTATCCTGGCGTCGGACAGTGAGGATTGGGCGAGCTCTGTGGCTATTCATTTTAGCTATTAGCTAGGTACCCGCAAACCTCCCGGAGGGAGTGTTAAACACAATCACGCAGGCTAGAGTGCCATCTACTAGATGGCACTATTCCTCAAAAATTCCTGAAGCTTTTCACCCCTAGACTGCGGGGTTATGGAAGTTCTCTACTGCCTTCAAGAGCTACTGGATAAGGGCAGAACCACATCCACGCTCAAAGTTTACAGTATGTGCATAGCAGCGCTTACAAAACCCTAGCGACTGCCCTGTCACTGGGGATGAACGATCTGGTCATCCGCTTCCTTAAAGGAGCTAAGAGGCTGAATCCTCCCCGACACCCTTCAGTCCCCATGTGGGACCTTTATACGGTTTTGGAAGCCATGAAAGGTGCCCCGTTCGAGCCAATCCATTTGCCGGACATGAAACATCTGTCATTCAAGACAATAAATTGAGGTCCCCATGAGAAAACGAGCTTATAAATCACACAGGAGGAGTTTTTTTGAAAATGTAAAAATGCAGAAAGTTTTCTGTGATGGGTAGGTTTATGGGTTGTGTTAGTGTAAGAGAATCGAATATAAAGTTTGAACAGTATAAAAACCATTACGTTTTACAGTACATCAGTCCCCACAAAGATAGCGAACCAGACATGTGTGTGTGTGTGTTGTTTTTGACTAGATGATATACAGTTTGTAGGATGTTCTGGGTCGTTGAGCCTATCCTAAGTCTTTATAACCTAGAAAGTATCACTAGTAAGAACAGTAATAATGTATTTTGTGTTTTTTTATATATATATGTGGAATTTTTCATGTACAGTAGTATTATGTCTTTAAAATGTCTTAAAATAAAATCTTAATTCAGGAGCTCCATCACCAGTGTTGTTATTAACTAAAACTTAAGAAAAAAAAATAGTTTTTTAATTAAAATGAAAAATTTCCATTAACGAAAGCTCCTGTCCGTAACTTTTTGGAGTAAGATATTATCCAAAATACATTTTTGAGCAAGTACATAACCTGACTGTACTTTAAGTGTTCAAAACTCGGCTCTGCTTAGGTTGATTTAAAGTGGTAAGCTTGTAATGATGTTTTTAATTCCAGTGGTAATGGTGGATTTACGCAGTAGATTAATGCATGTCTTGGAGTCATTACGTCACATCTATACACATAAAGGGGTCTCGGCTAGTATAATCCATATTGGGTGTGAGGATGATGGAGGTGGAGATTTATAGCCTTTTCTCACAGCACTTGATAGATTTAAATTTATCAATTTGATGGTAGATCCAGAAAGGTTCAAACGATAACCATCAGTGACAACTGGAGATTCACCCATTGTAGAATACAATACTTTGGAGTGGCTACAGAAAAAAAAGAGACCCATTGGGGCGTGAGGCCAAGTTTCGCAACTGGGCGCATGTGGAAAAAAAAGGATAAATATTGGAAGGAATGTACAGGTAGTCACGCAATGCTGATGTTAACATTAACAATTTGAGAATAAAGTATAATTTGCACCGTTTGACATGATATAAGCGATTGTTAGATTTAATCAGCCCGACTTTGCAATACTTTTTCCCCTTAGTTGTTCAGAACAAAAGTGAATGTTACTGTGCCATGCCGAGGCACAACCCATGTAAAGTTGATAATTTTGAAAATAACTGCAATTGCAGATTTCGAACAAAGATGGCGACAAAGAGGAAAAACTCAAGCATTCAAGTTGAAATAAAATAAAAAAAATAGATACGAGATGAAAACTTAAAATAAAAAAATGAATGAAAAAAGTAGTAAAAGACTAATACCAAGATAAATTAAAGCAAAACAGAAAAATAAACTAAAAGCATAAAAATAAGATCTAATTCAAAATATTAATAATTGCTATAATAGTGCATAAGCTGTGTCTCATTTCGAAGAATGTCACATTTGTCGGTCACACACAGTACGTAATAAAAGATGCCTTATTTCAGAACAGTTACCATTATAAAATTGACTGTTATTCCTAGTGAAGCGTTTATGATTTTGCCCGTGTGTTTTACATGTCTGTACTATACGTGTCTACTTGTTATTTTTTCTTTGATTCTTTCCAGTGCACTACACATGAACCCTTTTTCTTTTTTCTGTCTTCCTCCTTTTTTATTTCTCTTCCTTTTTCTCAGTTCCTCTTTTGCTTCTGATAATTCCCACTTCATCTTTCAGTCAAATCCTGTTCTCTTTTTAATTCAATAACAAGATCTTACAGTTCAAATTGTAATTGTATTAGTCTGATGATTTTTTTTTAAATTTGTCTCTCTGTGCACAGACACGTTTGCCAGTAAGGTTGCTGCCATCCAAGACCAGTATGCTGACGCCTCCATTGGAAATGTGACGGGCAGCAATGCTGTCAATGTTTTCCTGGGCATCGGTGTGGCGTGGACCATTTCTGCTGTATACTGGCGTACCAAAGGCAAACCCTTCCTCGTGGAGCCGGGCTCTCTGGCCTTCTCCGTCACACTCTTCACTGCGATGGCTGTGGTGGCTGTCGCTGTGCTGTTGTATCGCCGGCGCCCCTCAGTGGCTGGAGGAGAGCTCGGCGGTCCACGGACGTGCAAGATATTAACATCCTTGCTTTTCTTTTCCCTCTGGCTGATGTATATCCTGTTGGCCTCACTGGAAACGTACTGCCACATCCCTGGATTCTGAGGCAGCAAGGCCTCATATTATTTAAGCTTTGAGAGGAATATGAAAATGGCCGCTGAAGGAGCATTTTTGTTTTGTATTTATTCGATATTTATCTTTTATGATAAGTCAGTTTTTGTAATTTTCCATTTTCTTCCTTAAAGGGATAGTTCACCACCCCCAAAAAAGTCATCATTCACATCTTCTCATATAAAAGTGATTTGTTTTAAAACAAATTTTAAGAAATTTACTTTAGAAAGGGAGCGATATGATGGTAAGTAAATGATGACATTTTTTGGATAAACTATCCCTTTCAATAAGTTTAAATGCAGTATCTTAAACATCATTCCTTGTTCCCTAGCCTTACATTTGTATCCATCTCTCAGTGCTGTCTTAAGTTTTTCCAAACCTGTAATCAAGTGACTTTCTTTTATTTATGTTTTACTCCAGTTTGAGCCAATCCGAGTTTTCGGTTACTAAATGAAGTGGTTTACTTTTTTGTTCTCTTTTTATATGTTATGTTTCAGTATAACTCTCGTGAAACTGTAATGATAATATTTTAAAAGACATTTAAATGAACAGAGTGATCGAACATGAACTTTGAGTTATTAAGTTATTATACAGACTAAACAAACTGAATGGACTATATCTTATGTAAGAAGAAAAGCATGTTTCAGGACTTAATAAGAATCAGACAGATGGTCTGAAAAGCATGTCGAGTTCATAACTAATCAATATCATGAATGAAGGCTGACATTATTGGGAAGTCGAATAGCAAAAAGGAATGAAACTCAAAAAAAGTGAGTGGGAAATGGACTGGAATAATCCTAAAGAGGACGGAAGAAGAGCAATTGGAAAAATAATGACAGTGACGTTGCTGAATATCATTGAAAATAATTATAATTTAAACATGTATATAGTGTGTGTGATATGTGTGTGTGTGAGAGAGAGAGAGAGAGAACCCAACCAAGAATAAACAGCTCATCTGATGTTCTCTTGAAATAACAAAAATTGATGTAATTAGCTGTCTGTATCTATCTGTATTTGTCTTATCCCATGATGGTCACGCTCCTTGACATCAAATACTACATTGGAAATACTGGCCAGTTAACATGATGTGACATTTGACATGGTGACAAATGCACTTACTTGACTGTATTCCATAGCCTGGGAAAAGCCAGACAACTTCTGGCAAATTTAGATTTGCTCTGAAAGTTAGTCTGGCAAAGAGCTCATTTAAACCCATTTCCAGTCCGCGGAAATCGCGGCACCAATCAAAAACGTTGGGGCGGGCTTTACACGATGATGACAGCGCTGGGATTTTGAAGCAGATTTTGTAGCCGACATTACAAAGATGGATGCTGCCGGCGAACATCACTCGCTCGAATCAGCTATCGCGTCTGTTTTTAATTGATTTGAACGTTTCCTTTTTTGTTAAAGAGTAACTAAACCCTAAACCAACTTTTTTTAGTTAATGATCTGTTAGAATGGATCTTTATTAATACCAGTCATTGATTCGATTAACTTTTTTGACATTTGTGTATAAAGTGTTTTATTTCTACAATATATGGTGTAAAAACGAGTGCTGCCCTCTTCAGGTTGAACGGTAGCTGCTGCAGATGAATTTTCCTATTGGATGTTCCGCACTTCGTGACGTACACAGGTTTCAGCTCACCACGCTCTTGGAATAAAACCAGCTTGTTTCATCAAAACCACTGTAGCGAGTCAGGAGTTGGAATTGCGAGTATGGAAAATCATCAGGTCTTCCCACTTTTTCAGCATTTTTCAAATATTGCCAGTGGGTGGAGTCAGGCTCTGACCAGGGGTTTAGTTACCCTTTAAAAACCGAGCAAAGAACAAAACTCGGAGATGTTTCTCCGCCGGCCGCCGCTCTGCAAACGTCATCTCCTTCATCACTCTGATAGGTCTACCTGCGACGTCCGCTGGTGATGCCCCTCTGGAAATGATTTGTCTATGACGCTTTGCCAGACCATAACTCAGTTACAAAGAGAATGATCTGGTTTTAAACAGGCCATGTATTCCACACTGTATCGCTTAAATTCACCCCAAAATGACAATTCTGAGCATTTACACACCCTCGATGTCATTCAAAACCCGACCCATGGCGTGGACCATATAAGGAGATGTTTAGCAGAATGTTCATGCTGTTATTTAGGCCGACATTGACCATACTGAAATCAATGTACTTATAAGTTATACTACTTCACAAAATTAACCCATTTTTAGTTTGTAAAGTATACAATTAAGTGTAGTAAACTTTGAGTACACAACGAGTTCACATCTAAATTTAAATTTTTTATTCCAAACAAGTGAACTTAAGTTATCCAGTTAGTTTTCTAGCTATACACTCCTAGCCCACTTTTTAGTTTATGAAAGTCCACTTTAAAGTATATTCTGAGTAAACTGCTAATTTTAAAGAAATGTGATACTGCAGGTATACCTGTTTTCTTCAAGTGAACTTAAGTTCTAAATATTTTTGACTAAGTATGATGTTAAGTATACATAAGTACACAAAAAGTATGTGACTGAAATAAGTATGTTCTCTTATTTTTTGTTAAAAACACTATACTGATAGCACACTTGAATACACTAGAAGGACATGTCATGCTCCCAAAAAAAGCCTAAAACTCACCATAAAAGCACTGCAAAAGTAGTCCATAAGAGTAAATGCAAATGAAACCAAATGGTTGAAGGAAACATTTTCAGTCTGTCCCTTGCAGAATATAGCACACAAGTCACAATGACTACTTTTATAGTGCCCTTTTTCTTTTAGGATTTTTGGATTAAAAATACGGGTTTAGAATGAAATGAGGGTGCATGAAAAAGGAATACACTTATTTATCAGTATTGGTTGTTTTATTATGTCTGCCACAGTGAATATTCTGTCTATCTGTTTCTGACTGCTGTGTAATTATTCTGTGAGACATGCAAAGAGATGGTGGGAGGCTCTGGCATGCTGAATGATGGAGAGCACAGAAAAAAAATGAATGAGAGATTTATTTGTAGCGTAGAAATTTAGCTCTCACAAGTAGCTTCTATCCTCAGTCTAGTACAGTATTCGGAGTGAGAGAAAGTGCACACAGAGTATTTTTAGTAGTATCTTGTTGCTAGGCGACCCGCCCAGAGAGTCATTGTCTTGTCTGGGCCCAGTGATGAGTCCGTATGTGTGTGTGTGTGTGTGTGTGTGGGTGTTGCTGTATATGTGTAAGACCCACTTATTTAAGTCTATTTATGGTTTAAATCATTGAATAAACTTCTTACACTAATCTAAGTTTAGTGGGGGTTTCAACTGAACTAAAAAGATGTAGCTTTTTATGATGTGGTTAGCGAAAAGATAATCATTGAAATCAGTCATGATCGTGTATTTGACTTGACAAAATTAATGATCATTAACGATCAGGCCAGCCCGTACTGACAAAGATCAACTAATGAATCCCATATCAGACTGACACACAGCAGAAGACTGTGCACATAATCGCTTTATAGGATCACCGTTTTCTCTCTCTCTCTGTCAGGTTACTCTTGTAGCAATTGAAGTGCAATCCCAAATGTCACACTGAGAAGCAGCCATCGTAATTGGATTAAGCAGCCTGGCCAGAGAGAGAACGATAAAGAGAGAGATAGGGAATGTAAACACTTCCCCCAACTACACAATCACACATAGGTCTACCTGATGAAATTGTATGTAAAGATTATCGTGTGTGTGTGTGTGTGTGTTTATAGCTTTCTAACACTGCAAGACAAAGTATGTATTTGTGTTGTGTCTGCTGGCCTCTTAATCAGTTTTGTGATGCAGTCGTTTCAGTGCATGTTTAAGTGTCTAACACGTGAAAAAACGACTAATGATGACACACTAAAAACATAGGAATGTCGTTACATTGAATACAATATCAAACAGTGACAAGTGCAAACAAATGATGCTTTCGAACATCTTCATGTTCCATAAACATTTTGAACTGTAAATCAAGTTCAAAATCAGCATATAATCTTATTGAGAGCAATTAATTCATGCATGTTTATTTTTTTTAAATGTTGACATTGTTCAGGACGTATTCATCTGCCTTCGTCTAATCAACAACTGATGAATAGTACCATCCCAGCAAACACAGAACGTTCCTGAATGGTCCCATGAAGTTATTTTGTTGGGAACCAAACAAGAACGTTGCATGTAGGTTATTTTTAGGTTCTAATTTTATAACGTAAGGAGAATGTTCCGTGAACGTTCCCTTAACCTTAAGGGAACGTTCTGGGAACCAAAAACTAACGTTCCCAGAACCTAAATTTGTTTGCTGGGATGTTCTCGTCTGACATTTTTCTTTTTCCGATACAACTTTCATTCAGATGTGTCAAAATACAGAAAAAAAATATCTGTTATTACTTCCGTTACATCGCCACTTTTGATATTTGTTATCTAATGCAATGACATTCATACGTTTTTAAGTGTGCCCTAAGTGTTCACTTTTTTAATTAATTTATTTTTTTGTGGGGAAGCTGTAAAAACACTAAAGCCACAAATTCAAAGATAAGCAGGCAAGCGTGTGGTTCCTGTTGCTAACTCAGAGTCATCCTGTCGACTAACTTTCTGTAACAGGAAAAAGAAACAAGGCAATGCTCAAATGTACGTTTTGTGTTTTTATTTCTTGGATTTTTTTTTTGGTGTGATTGGACTTCTGTGCATAGTGGTGCAGCTTTGACTTTGGTGTGTACAAAAGATATGCTAACAGAAGAGGTTAATATGATAATATAACAGGTCATTTGAAGTGCCCTGAAGAAGTAGTCACCATGTCATGATGTATCATTGTGTGTGTGTTGCCCTCGGCTGGACTCTGTTCGGTGTAGTCTGGTCCTTGTGTGAAGCATCTCTCTTGGATCTTTCTGTTCAGTAGTCTTTTGATTTTTCCTTCATTAATGTTTCGATTGATTTCATTGTTCATTTCTCAGTCTTTCTTTTGCATAATGAGTGAATCACCAAGTGCTTTTCTTTTCCTTTTATATAGCAGATTTTAGTTGGATTGTTCCTATTTTTATTTCTCTTCATGTCTCTTGATTTGATGCATGACACATCCGCTTGCCCTTATTAAATGTTTTTGAAATTGTTGTTCTTTTTTAAAAATGTCTTTTATTAAAAAAATATACGAATCACTTATTAAATGGATGATATTTATTTGTGCATACAACTTTTTTTGTGCAGAAAAAGATTCATTTCCGACAAAGAACATTCTCAGCGACCAATATGAGTCATTGAATCATTCACTCAAACATTTTGTTTGTTTGACACTATGTATGAACTAAATGCCACTACTGTGTGTTGGTGAGCAAAAATATACTAAGTAACTGGAAATAATTGATCACACTCAGGCCCTGTTTAGAGCTGCTATATATCTCAGGGAGAACTATATTTCAAAACAAAAGAATTAAAAAAAAAAATCATATTTTTTCATTGTACAGTCTACAGCAGTGCACTGTACTACAGTATACGATGTATACAAAATAAGGGACACAAATAAGGAGTAAACATGTGATCAATGTGCTTCTTGTCTTTGGCCTGGGTCATGCCAGAGCACTTCGTCGACATCACAAGCAATATTGTCCCTTGCCCCCCTCCTCCTCCTCCTCTTCCTCTTTCTAGCCCCCCTCCTCCTCCTCTTCTTCCTCCTACTCTTTCTTGCCCTACTCTTCCTCCTCTTTCTCTTTCTTGCCCTCCTCCTCGTCCTCTCACATTGTTTCTTCTATCCATTCTCAGACTTTCTCCTTTCCACCTTCAACAACCTCTCAGTTCAGTTTGCTCTCTGAACTGGCTAATATTGGTTGTGTCACATCATTTGAAACAGGTTGAATCAGTTTTGAGTGGTTGTGTTCAATCAAATGATATGTGTTCTCTATTTGTATTTGAT